ACACACACACACACACACACACACACACTACACACACACACACACACACACACACACACACACACATATATATATATATATATATATATATAATTAAAGTTTGATAAAAGGGATACTAGACTCTAGGATTTTACTGCATACAACTGTACTTACTGTATAACAAATCGTCTATACCCACACGTACTTGTTACCAGATACCTAATTAAATTATTGTAATTAATTATACATCAACGCTATGAAATTTGAACGGCGATATATTTTGCACGTTACAGACCGAGGGCTAATCACAAAGGTGCAATAATATATTTATACCTGAATGCTATTTAACCGAACGATGTTCATTTTAGGACAAATTTATCCATGTCGTCGTCGTCGTCATTATCTTCTTCTTCTTCTTCTTCTTTTTCTTCTTCTTAATATATAAATCTTTATCATATTACTTGATTACGACTTAAAGTGATCTTTTACTCTAGGTTCTAGGGTTATTTTCAGATAATTTAGGTTAAAAATACGCTACATAAAAAATTTCATGGTTTAATCAGCATTACAATTTTTTTTTATGTTTTAAAACCAACGACTACAGTTTAATTACAACGACGGTGGCGCCACTCAAAGCGCACGATTTGAAAAGTTGCGCAAAACGACTTTTCAGCCAAGGGCTACAGACCGAGTGTGTTTCTTATTTATTAATTTAAAAGCAAAATGATTGTAATGTCTTATAAACGACATATAGTTTCAGTTATAATCAGCAGTAGTAGTAGTAGTAGTAGTAGTAGTAGTAGTAGTAGTAGTAGTAGTAGTAGTAGTAGTAGTAGTAGTAGTAGTAGTAGTAGCAGCAGCAGCAGCAGCAGCAGCAGCAGCAGCAGCAGTAGCAGCAGCAGCAGCAGCAGCAATAACAGCAGCAGAAACAGCCGCAACAGCATCATCATCTCTATCTCTCTATCTATCTATCTATCTATCTATTTATCTATCTATCTATCTATCTATCTATCTATCTATGTATTTATGCTATCTTTATCTATCTATCTATCTATCTATCTATCTATCTATTTATTTATTTATTTATCTATCTATCTATCTATCTATCTATCTATTTATCTATCTATCTATCTATCTATCTGTGCCCACCCACACGATAAGAGCTAATGAAAAGTGCGCTCGGAAGCCGCACTGTTGGCATGCTGGAGATTCAATGCCCTCAACCTGCGCCGTCTGTTTGCTTGCAAACATTACATGTGGTCATTTCCTCTCTCAGTGGCCGCGACGTGGTGTATATGGCTTCTAGAGACATGATCATCTTCACCACGTGCAAAGCGTTAGGAGCTCACAGGACAGCACACGATAAAAGGCGGATGTGTGAAAGCGATAAAACAAGTATAACTTCTTGGCGGGCACAACCGAAAGCTATGCTAAAATCCGTGCCAACTCTAAAACGGATCTGTATAGCTGACCTTTCTGAACCTGGAGCGCGGCACCATCAATCGTTACGAAATGAAAGACGATGCAATCTTTGAGCGGGTACACAATGCAATATTTGCGCAACTATAATATCGTATAATTAATTCGGTAATCGACAAAAACTGGCAATTATTGCCCCCCCCCCTCCGTCTTAGTGTATTAATTTCATCAAAACATCCAAGCAAACTAGACTGGTTTTTTTTATTCTAAAAACATAATCGTGTACAATTTTCCAGATGTAACGTTTCGCAGGCGTGCTGTTCATCACGCTGATCCTCTCCTTGCAAGAAACCAGGCAGAGTGAGAGATTGATCAACCGATTTATCCTCTCGGCGTTATATGTCATCACTGATGTCATGCATACTACTGTTTTACACAGTGCTTTTACTCTCGATTCGCAAACTCACTGCGCGTCAGGGTTTGCATGCGTGCACGCGTGCTTATGCCTTAAGTGAAGCTGTATGTTTCCATTCGTTTTGCGTTAAGTGGCACCGTGTGTTACGGAGCGCTTTTTGCGAGTAAACGCTTACGCGGCGTCAGCATGAGAACTGGATAGTTAGGGGCGTTAGGGCCACAGGCACTTGGAACGTCTCAATAAAAGAAATAATTGTAAATAAACACGAAATGTATTTACAAAATGTATTAAAAGTCTGAATGTTTCTCTACTTTATTTCGCCTATTATTGCCGATACCTTCCTGTAAATGCCGTACAAATGCTCCTCTGCAGCACACAAGTACACCGCACGCACGCCCTGGGCTCAAACAACAAGAATAATACACGCGTGCGTGCGGTGTACTTGTGTGTTGCAGAGAAGCATTTGAACGGCATTTGCAGGAAGTTATCGGCAATAATAGGCGAAATAGAGTAGAGAAACATTAAGACGTTGGTAGTAAATACATTTCGTGTTTATTTACCATTGTTTTTTTTTTGTATTGAGACGTTCCAAGTGCCTGTGGTTAGGGCTATGGGAGGTAGTTGGCGAGCTCACCTCTGGTTCAGCTGCACGGTGCCGTTAGGAAAGATGCGGATGAGGGTGTTCGGTCTCGTCACCTCGTGCCAGGCCGCGTCTCGCGCGTTAACGAAGAACAAGTCGGACCTCCAGATGCTTTGCGCGAGCGCGGGAGTACCGGCGATGTAGTGGTTACCATGGTCGCGTGCCTTCTCGAAGTTGAGTCGCCTGTCCAGCCATCGCTGCCTCACGACAAAGTCCGCATCAAACGACTGCAAGAAAGGTCCGTCGTTGCTGTCATCATGTTATCTATCACCCTCGTCATCGGAATCACTATCGTCATCGCTATCAACAGCAGCAGCAGGAGCAACAGCAGCAGCGATAGCATCGTTAGCATGTCAGCGTCACCAGCATCATCATCATCAGCAGCAGCAGCAGCAGCAGCAGCAGCAGTATCTATCTATCTATCTATCTATCTATCTATCTATCTATCTATCTATCTATCTATAACGTCTATCTCACTCCAAGTCACGTCTATCTATCTATCTATCTATCTATCTATCTATCTATCTATCTATCTATCTATCTATCTATCTATCCGCGCGTAACGTATAAATTATAGCATAATAATTATAATCGCAGCATCACGCACGTAACGTATAAATTATAGCATAATAATTATAATCGCAGCATCACGCGCGTAACCTATAAATTATAGCATAATAATTATAATCGCAGCATCACGCACGTAACGTATAAATTATAGCATAATAATTATAATCGCAGCATCACGCGCGTAACCTATATAACGTATAGCATGATATGATCACAGCATCAGCCGCGTAACGTATAACGTACAGCATGATATGATAACAGAATCACGCGCGTAACGTATAACGTATAGCATGATGTGATCGCAACACAGCGTATATAACGTATAGCATGATATGATCACAGCATCAGCCGCGTAACGTATAACGTATAGCATGATATGATCACAGCATCAGCCGCGTAACGTATAACGTATAGCATGATGTGATCGCAACACAGCGTATATAACGTATAGTATGATATGATTACAGCATCAGCCGCGTAACGTATAGCATGATATGATCGCAACACAGCGTATAACGTATAGTATGATATGATTACAGCATCACGCACGTATGATGCTGCGATTATAATT